GGTGGAGTCATGGTGAAGAAAATTCATACTACAGAGAATCCTGCTGATATGTTGACAAAAGTGGCGACTGCGGTCAAGTTTAAACATTGTTTGGATTTGATCGACATTGTTGAACACTGAAGATTAAAGATGAAGACACAACCAAAATTTTTTATTGAGAGAAAATTGAAGATGTGGAATTTTGCCAAGGTGGAGATTTGTTGAATTTGGCCAATCCCACCATCGGTGGTTTAGCCATTTGGTAGGGAATTTTTCACTATAAAAGGAGGCCTAATATTTAGGATTTAGATACACCTCTCATTTTCCTTCTTATCTTCTTAAAGCATTTGTATTTTCTCTCTTTAGTATTATTTCACTTGTATTTTTGGAGTGGAATAAAATATTAGTTGTGTCCGAGGAAGTAGGCAAAATTGGCCGAACCTCGTAAATTCTGGTGTTCCTTTTATTGTTGTTTTATTATCTTATTTATTATTTGGTGGCTGTCATAATTTTTAGTATAGTAGTTGTGACTCATACACACTATATACATTTGGCTTCCGCAACAACCAGAACATTCCGGATCAACCTATTTGGGACCTCACAGAAAATGGTAAGTACTCAAACAAAACCACTTACAATTTGCTCAGAAACAAGGATCCATTCATCCACAAGGTATGGTACTCTAGCATCCCATTTAATTTCATTCTTTTCCTGGAGATTATGGTTATCTAAACTTCCATTTGATGAAATCATTCTTAATTTTGGAAAGCATATTGTTTTTAAATGTTCATGTTGTACTAACTATTGCAATGAGTCTATACAACATGTCTTTATGGAAAGTGATGCAGCTAAAAATATTTGAAAAATAATTGGTGACCCGATGGGGATAAAACTTGTGCAAATGCCTATCAAAGGATGGTTCAATCACTAGTGGAAACAAATTGTTTGTTGGGAAATTTGGAAGGATAGGTGTTCTTGCAGATATGGGGATAAAAAAAGATTCAACTATTACAACATGAAGCAACAGATTGTTTGGAATATTCAAGCAGCCGTACATAGAGCTTTTCCTAAATGCAAACTGATATTGCCCTGAGTCAAATTCTGTGATGATATGACAAAACTACAGCATATTCAAGAGGCCATCATTGTCACTTGGTTGAAGCCTCCTTAGGGAACTCTCAAATTAAATACTGATGGCAGCTATATTCAAGGTAATGGTAAAGTTGGTCTCGGCGGCACTTTGAGAGATGATCAAGGTGACTTCTATATGGCATATGCTATCCCAGCTAAATGTGATAGCCATAATGAAGCTGAAGCTCAAGCAGCACTGTCCAGGATCAAATGATGCATACAAAATGGGGTCACTGATTTTACAATCAAACTTGACTCTCTTTTAGTGACAAACATGCTGAAGAACAACCATACTCAGCACTACAAATTGCGAAGAACTATGGAGGAGATCTCACAGTGCATGAACCATGCCAATATCACTCATACTCATTGTTATAGGGAAGGTAACAAAGTGGCGAATTTTCTAGCAAAGTATGCAACCAATGCTATGGAGGATAATATCTGCCTCTCCTTTATTCAAATGCTAAGGGGAGCAAAATGACCCTTTCTTTTGGACAAATTTCAGGTTCCGAGTATTAGAACTAGGTACAACAAAGCAAACCTTTTTGTTAGTTAGATATACTTTGTACCCTGACAGTGGTTGATACTTTTATCACCTGACTGTATTTTTGCCCCATGTTGTAATCTATGGAGGTAAGGCAATTCCTCCTCCTTTATTATAGATATATACAACACACCCACATTCACTGTGAAGGTTAATTAAAAAAATACACTAATATCAGTTCAATTTAACGGGCCATAGTAGGTTATTATTTTACTTAGCTTTTTCGGTTATCATATTGGACTTGCTAGTGACGGATTATCTATTGTTTTAGGTCAATTTAACTTGACAACAAAGAAAATTTATATGCTATCAGTTTGCAGAACTTAAACTCTTACCTAAATTATTCATCTTTTCACCTCAACTCTATTGATTACATATAGCCAAATCGTGCAATTTTTTCCTACATAATTTTCATGTTTTTCCCCATGGGAATAGCAATGTTAAGTGTCCATATTCAGAGTTAATGAAAATTTTACAACAAGCTGCCTCAAATGATATAGTTGTTAGAATCGAAAAAATCATGTGTCAAGCAGAAGCTAGTAACACAAACCTTCAACGACGATAAATGAGACAACAAAATAGAAATATACCAAAAGAGACACAAATATTTAACGTGATTCGGCCAACTGACTTACGTCCACAACGGAAATGAGCAATCCACTATATTAAAAGAGAGTACAAAATATCGAGAGAGCAAACTCATGAAGAGGCAAACACAAGTGATACACTAACACTTGTCCCGTAAAGTTCTTCCCCTAAACACGATTCTCAAACCACATATGGCTACATTGTGGATGTTGCTGAATGAGAAGGAAGGATCCTCAATTTATAGAAGTCCAAACTTTTTCCTACCAGCAAAAGGACTAGCTAAATATGAAAGATTTATAATTTCCTTCTACAAAAAGGAAAACCCAATTTTGGTAAACATGCTTCACATTCCTTCAATAGATAGGAAAACCAAACATGGTAAGAAAATTAGGACAACACCTAACAATTCTCCCCCTTTGACTAAATTTTCTGACGAAATTAACTTAATCCACCTTCGTAACATAATTTAGGCCAAGGAGGAGAATTATTAGGTGTTGTTATGATTTTTTTTTACCATATTTGGTTTCCATATCACTTGAAGGAAAGAACAACATATTTACCATAATTGGGTTTTCCTTTTTGTAGAAGAAAAATATAATTCTCCTATATTTGGTTAGTCCTTTTTCTTATAGGAAAAGGTTTGGACTTCTATAAATTGAGGATCCTTCCTTCTTATTCAGTATCATTCACAATGTAGCCATATGAGGTTTGAGAGTCGTATTTAGGAGGAGAACTTTACGGGACAAGTGTTAGTGTGTCACTTATATGTGCCTCTTCGTGAGGTTGTTCTCTCGATAATTTGTACCCTCTTTTATTATAGTGGATTGCTCATCTCCATCTGTGGACGTAGGTCAGTTGACCGAACCACGATAAATACTTGTGTCTCTTTTGATATATTTTTCTTTTGTTGTATGATTTATCGTTGATCAAGGTTTACTTGCTAACTTCTGCATGACACCTGTTTTTTCCTGTCCTAACACTAGTACAAATCATAGTAATTTAGAAGATTATGAGAAGCAACACTTTTGTGCTATAGTTTTCAAGGAATTTCATCAGTTGATAAGAAGCTATATATGAACATATCTCTAATTTCACCTTTGTTAAAACCATACTTCCTGAGAAAGCCCTCTTTCTTGAAACCAACCTTTTCTAGCACCCTTTGAGATCCTACATTTTCAGGCTCCACCAAGGCTTCTAGCCTCACCAAATAGGGAAAATCTCTGAACACAATAGGGATAGCCATCTTTATTGCCATAGTAACAATTCCTTGTCCCCAATAATCAGAACCAATGGCATAGCCAATGCGAGCTTTGTGCCTTTCGCTCCCGGATTCTGGCCTAACTGATATATAACCTATGGAACGGTCATCTAAGCATATGGACCGACGCCATGGATGTGGAATAGCAACTTCTTGGATATATTTTGATGCTGCTTGAATGGAGGTGATTGTGTGCCATCTTAGATAAGAGGTTACTTTGTCGTCGCTAGCCCATATCAAGAGGTCATCAGCATCAGAAAGTTTGAATGGCCTGAGTGATATTCTTGAGGAATCCATTTCTACTTCTAGCTTATGATCTCCTTTGTTAACGCTGTTATTGGATTTGTTAAGTCTTAGTTGAGTGAGTGTTGGACCATATCAGAAGGCATGTGATCCTGTGGAAAAGTATGAGCCACCACTCTTTTGTAAATGTCAATAACGTGATAATGTGGAAAACTACAAATATGGCTGCATGGTTTATTGGAAACCTGATCTTGAATAAATTTCTATGCTGGAGATTAGAACATGGATGAATTTTCTAGAATATGTTTTTAGACTAGATATGGCTAGATTTTAGAAAACAGCGGTTTTCCTTTTTAACTTTGTAACTAATTAAGCTAAAAGTAGAGAATGCGATGACACGAGAAGCACTATATCTTACTTTGAATGCTTTTCTTTTCTTGCACTAAAGCTCATAGGGATTTGTTGCTTTTCCTAATGGCTTAGCTTTTGTCTTTCAGTTCAACAAATCATGTAGAGAGAGCGCTCATTTTTTATGCTTTAGACTATGTGGAAATTTGAACATGTTGTGTGTCACTTCTGATACCACTTGAAAGAAAGAAAAGGAAAAAGGCTCTAAAAAAAATACCCTCCTAGCTTTTGAAGGGGGCTGTGTAAAGATTTCCTAAAACTATTTGAAGAACATATAAGTTTAAATACTTTAAAACATCATAAAATTATTGATATGTACTTCCTCCAGTCCACAGCAAGTAGTGACCACAAAACTATTTCATTAAAGAAATAATAAATTCTAGACAAACATAGTTAGTGTGATTATATTACCCTTAATTAAATGTTGCACCATAGTTATAATAGCACTTACTTCTCTTCTAATGTGAGGAGTAAATGACTTTTTAAGAATATGTACATAAGGATAATTTTGGAAAAACAAAATAATTTTTTTTTTGATTATATAAATGGACACTTATTTTGAACCAAAATAAAAAAGCAAATACCCAATATTGAATTCAAAATAACCTCACGCTTCATTTAGTACACTTGGGATGAATTTTCCAAGAAAAGTTGGTAAGTAGTCAAGTGAGGCGGCTGCAGAAAATTTTGGACTTTTTTTTTTGGTTCGCAAATGACCCATGATAGCTCCATTCCTCGGTCACCAAGTCATAAATAAAGTAAATACCCAGTTGAGTCCATCTTACACGGTTTCAAGACCAAATTATTTTCCAGGAGGATCCTTAGTTGACTCAATTAATTTACACGTTCAATTTAAGTCCAAGAGGAATGTTATAAAATGCCATGATGTTTCAATGATCTAAAGCTAAACATTCTATAACATTTGTAAACAAGAAACTTGGGCGCTTTTTTGTTTCAGAAAAAATTTCATTTTGAGGATATGGAGTGTGATTCATCCTGTGATCTTACAGCGAAATTAGAGGAGAAATTGAACTTGAGTCAAAAAGAAGACGCTGCTACAGATGGTGATTCAGATATTACTCTCCGTCCATTGGACCTCACCGATGTAGATGATTTTATGGAATGGTTTGCGGATGATAACGTTAGTAAGTTCTGTTCTTGGGACACTTTCACATCCAAAGAAGATGCCATGAATTATGTCGCTGATATTGCCATACCACATCCATGGTTTCAGGCAATTTGTTTAAATGGAAAACCAGTTGGTTCTATTTCTGTATCACCATTTCATGGAACTGATAGATGCAGGGGTGAACTTGGATATGTGTTAGCATCAAAATATTGGGGCAAAGGGATTGCCACAAAGGCCGTGAAGATGGCGGCCACCGCCATATTTGTGGAGTGGCCACACTTGGAGAGGCTTGAAGCTGTGGTGGATGTTGATAATCCAGGATCACAGAGGGTGTTGGAGAAGGCTGGTTTTAGGAAAGAAGGTGTTTGAGGAAGTATTATCTTCTTAAAGGGAAACCAAAAGATATTGTTATGTTTAGTCTTTTATCCACTGATCCTCAAGTCAACTACTTTATGTAGTAGGTTGGAAAATCTTTAATTAATTGGTGTCACCAAAAGGTCATCAGCATCAGAAAGTTTGAATGGCCTGAGAAATATCCTAGAGGAGTCCATTTTTAGTTCTAGCTATGATCTCCTTTGTTGACTCTGTTATTGGATTTGAGTGATTTTTTGACCATATCAGAGTAGACAAGTATGAGCCACTGTCACACCTCCTTTTTGTGCGCCCGCCCTGAAGGGTTAAATGCACGAGGGGAGTTTTTCCAATTTAAGTGATAATATTCGAAATGAGATTATTTATTTAATTCAGAGTCGCCACTTGGGAAAGGTTTGGTTTTTGGTGTCCCAAGTCACCGGTTTATCTTGAATCCCAAATCGAGGAAATTTTCGACTTTTCCAAATGAAGTCTGCGAACCAGAAATTCTAAGTAAGGAATTCTGTTGACCCGAGGGAAGGTGTTAGGCACCCTCGAATCCCGTGGTTCTAGCACGGTCGCTTAAATTGTTATAATGACTAAATATCTGATTGAAATACATGTTATGACTTATGTGCTTTTATTAAATTTAAAACCGCTTTTATTATTATCATTTATTTTTGTAAAGAATTGCAACGTCGTGAAAATGCATCTCGAACCACGTAACAATCAATGCACCCGTAGTTGTTAATACATTTCGACTCCGTTGAGATTTGAGTTTGGATCACATAAATGCGCACCCGATTTTAAGAATGTAATTTAATTAAGTCGCGCCTAAAGAGTCTAACGCATTATTATCTTTGGGGAAGGCAGTGAAATTCACTAAACAGTCCATCCCAAATTCTAAGTATTCAATATATATACACTTATGAGGGCCCCGCAGTTTGTGTCTCTCATTTAGCGAGGCTCATCTCATTTTGGTGAAGCAGGTAAGCCTACGATGATTACATCTTTATTATGTTCGTTTCTAATAAATGAAGAAAGAAATTACGTTCTAAGTAAATTGCATGCTTGGCCGATTCCGGATTCTTGTTTAATTAT